CGCGTTCGGTTTGCAAATATGTATGTATAACACTGTGCACAAAAATTTAACCTCAAAAGAAATGTCAAAACAGTGCAGCAACCGTTCAATTGCAAATTCTTACTAGTCTTGTGTTCAGTAACTTTTTCTGCTAGTTTTCTCTTCTTGCCAATTTTACGCTCTATTTTGCTTTTACGCTCTCGCTGCAATTTTTTACTGAGGAAGTAACTATACAAATCTAATGTTATTCTGTCCCGTATTCAAAGTGAGGAAATAACATATAAGTCGATAAACACCGCTGTGGAAGCAAATGAAGCAGATAATTATCCAACGGAATTTTTAAACTCGCTTGATCTACCTGGGATGGCCCCACATATACTAACATTGAAAAAAGGCAAGGTTCATAGAATACAAGGTTACGACATCAGCCATGGCTGCCATCTTGATGACGTAGATGGCTCAATTTTTGAAATTGCCACATTCCTAAAAAATTATCTTATAAATTGACACCATTTTAGTCAAAAATACATCAAGTTTTTTTTCAAATATGTGTAACCCTGATATTTACCGTTTGACAATTCGCGTTGAAGTTTGTGCTTTTTTCTGCGTCTTTGAGTTTATATAAATTATTAAAAATTTAAGTGCGCTGTTTTTGATTGTAAAAATTACACTGAAAATCGTAATTTAGGTTTTATCGTATGTCTAAAGATGAATTGCAATTTCGGTAGCGAAATTTTGCCAATGTTATAATAAAATTTTCAAGAGTTTTAAGAAGATCATCGTTAAAATTTTCAAGAGTTTTAAGAAGATCATCGTTAAACTCATCTTGTGTAATTAAATCGACAATGCGTACAAATATTATGAGAAATTGATAAACGGGATCATTATGATCAATCAAATCGCCTATAAGAATTAATATAATATTTATAAATGTCTTCATTTCACTGGCGTTTAATTTCAAATTGCCATTTTGTATATGATGTTTGGTGATCGGTGGGCTAACATCTCCAACAAGCTTAGGTCCGTAATTAAACATTTGTTTTCTAAAATTAAATGCGTCCAGGGTGAAGAATTTTTTTTCATATATATAGAGAATTTAATGTTTTACTTATGTTATATTTTGCTACTCCCAGATAGATGTCATGCATAATGTCACAGGCCTTGTTATCTGTAACATGAAAACCAAATAAATCGTTCCAAATTGAGTTTTCATTAACAGGCAAATTTTTATCGTTAGTTGTGCATTCTTTAGTATAATTGTTTTTGTCGCGAATACATTCTGATTTTTCTGCGTAATCATTTTGACACTGAACTTTAATTCTTGTGCAAATTCTGCAGTAACTATAGCTGTTAAAACTCTTAGTATATCCCAAAACCTCGTTTAGACCTAGATTATCTCCCAATATTTGACCTAATAAGAAAAAAATTGTGAGGTTCCTATTATTATGATATATTTCTACACCATTTTCGGCTTAATCTTGCAAAGTATCGACTAGCCGTTTTAAAGCCAACTGTTTACCAAAATCTTTCATATCGTCTGAATTGATAAAACACGCAAGTGATATGTTATTTAAATCAGATAAATGGTGCTGTGGAATACATAACTGGAACCGTGTAGTATATACCAGACAACAGCATGAGTTTACTCACTTCCATCTAAACAGTATGAACTCATTGCTGTGAACTCTATAAGGTTAGTGAGAAACACCGTACAAACAGTGAGATTCATAGCTAGTTTTGAAATCAATGTTTAGCTACAGTGTACTCATTTGATTTCAAATATGGCATTGATATACTCTTTCCAAATCAAGTCAAGCGAGTGAAAAATGCTGTTATGAAAAGCAAGTCGAGCAATCGAATGACACCCAATGACTTCAAACAATTAGTAGAGAATACGACAATTTTGAAAAAAGTGGATATTGATGAAGTATTTTTTTATTTATATATATTTGTTTTACTAAATTATTTAGTTATGCACCTGACGTACATTTATATAATTAGTTTACAAAAGAAATGCAATGTTACCTCAGAAGACATCGGCTTTATAAGGGACTTGAAAAATAAGTTGCTTTATTATTTAAAAACAGTTGCTATTGAAAACTAACAGATTTGCACAAAATTGTGCTTTTTTTATACCCGTCAGCAAAGGAGCTCAAGAACTTTACCGAATCTGAGCAAAGGTACACAAAAGAGAAATGTTTACAAATTATGCGAACGTTAACTGAGAATTCTGACAGTACAACGGAACCACAAATTGCGGATACACCTTTGTTACCTTCAGACAACTTGAGCTGTTTTCAGGTCTTCTTAAACAACCTACCTTTGTGAGCAGAACTTATAAAGCTACTGCAGAGCTGCGGCGATATGAAAATATTGAGGTATATTTTCATACGGACTTCGATATAATTAATTGGTGGGAGGTACACAAATGGAAATGCCGCTGCTGCATAAACTCAGTCGTAGAGTAATAGCCACTCCTTCAACTAGCGCATCGTCAGAAAGAGTTTTTTCTTCTGCTGGAAATATTATTTCTGACAAAAGATGCCACCTTTTGTCAAATGATGATGCCCTTAATCAGTTGATAAATTTGCATTATAATATGCAGTTAGGAAACCAATAAAATTAACAAAAATTGTCTTTACAAATGTTTTTTCTTTGATACTTTCATTACAGCAGTTATGCCATGCACTTGTTTTTCAAATCAAGCACTTGTTCTTTGAATCGAGCACTTGATAGTGTGAATTACTCACTCAACCGACAATGTTTTTTCAATGATATCGCACGTTATGTTTGGATATAAATGAGTGCGAGTGTGTGCAGATGTGAAAAGAAAGCGAGTGACTTAAAATGTAATTTGAGTGTATCCATGCAGCTCTCTGGTATATACCGCACACAGACTTTTGATGAGAACCAAGTGAGTCAAGGAATCAAAATAAATAAAAATTGGGAAAGTTATTTTGTTTGGACGTGCTGCGATTTTCGACATCCATAATTCACCTTTAATACAATGGTTTATTTTATTGGAACGATTTATTTGTTGAATGTTTTCAAACGTGTCAGTTAAAATACCTGAAGTCTCAAAATATGATTTCAATTAAAATCTCATATCGCACAAGCAACCTTCTAGTGTATTCTCTTTGATAGTTGGGTAGCCATTAACAAAAACCTCATCTAATTGAAAACTTATGGAAAATAGTTTTGGATGTTTATATAAATTTTGTTTTTCTTAGTATTTCACAAATTTGTATTCTCTGTAGGGACACGATATCGAACAGAAAGTATCGATATGGTACTCATTTAAAGTATCGCTTTAAAAATATCGGGTACCCCTTAATATCGGAATAAAAAGACTCGATATTCCAAATATCGATACCAAAATCCAAAAAATGTATCTGAATATAGGTCTCGTATATAGGCCGCTGTGGTGTAATGGTTAGAAGTGCGCAAAGCTTGAAAATTAAAAACAGCTTCCCAGTAAAACATAATCGCCGTTCAGAGTCGACCTAAAACTGTAGGGACCCCTTTTGTGCCACAACATTAAGGCGCGAGCGACAAATCGGAGGAGAATCTCGGTCAAACACTAACATATTGTGTAACAACACGTAGAGATTAAGGTGTTGACTTAAAACACCGAGACCGCGGGTTCAAATTCCACCACATG